GTTGCGCCTTGATTGGTGTGTGAGGTGGGGGGGAGAATCTCCAATCTCCCCCCTACCTATTTTTTTTCTAATGCCGGTTGGATTGGATCGTGGGATCAAGTTTTGATGCTGTCATCATTGGTTGCGCCTTGATTGGTGTGTGAGGTGGGGGGGAGAATCTCCAATCTCCCCCCCACCTTTTTTTTTTCGTTTTTTTGTTTGAATGTCGGTCGGATCGGATCGCGGGATCAAGTTTTGCTATTGTCACCATTGGTTGCGCCTTGATTAGTGTGTGAGGTGAGGGGGAGAATCTCCAATATCCCCCCCACTTTTTTTTTCCGTTTTTTTTTATTGAATGTCGCTTGGATCGGATCGTGGGATCAACTTTAAATTGCTGGATCGGATCGTGGTTGCGCCTTGATTGGTGTGTGAGGTGGTGGGGGGGGGGAGAATCTCCAATCTCCCCTCCACTTTTTTATTCCGTTTTTTTGTTTGAATGCCGCTTGGATCGGATCGTGGTTGCGCCTTGATTGGTGTGTGAGTTGGGGGAGGAGAATCTCCAATCTCCCCCCTACCTTTTTTTTTTCCTTTTTTTGTTTGAATACCGGGTGGATCGGATCGTGGGATCAAGTTTTGCTGTTGTCATCATTGGTTGCGCCTTGATTGGTGTGTGAGGTGCGGGGGAGAATCTCCAATCTCCCCCCCTCCTGTTTTTTTTTCATTTTTTTTTTTAATGCCGGTTGAATCGGATCGTGGAATCAAGTTTAATTGTTGTCATCATTGGTTGCGCCTTGATTGGTGTGTGAGGGGGGGGGGGGGGGGGAGAATCTCCAATCTTCCCCCCGCCTTTTTTTTTTCCTATTTTTTTCTAATGTCGATCGGATCGGATCGGGAGATCAAGTTTTGTTGTTGTCATCATTCGTTGCGCCTTGATTGGTGTGTGAGGCGGGGGGCAGAATCTCCAATCTCCCCCCACCTTATTTTTTTCGTTTTTTTTTCTAACGCCGGTTGGATCGGATCGTGAGATCAAGTTTTGTTGTTGTCATCATTGGTTGCGCCTTGATTGGTATGCGAGGTGGGGGGGAGAATCTCCAATCTCCCACCCACCTTTTTTTTTTCGTTTTTTTGTTTGAATGTCGGTCGGATCGGATCGCGAGATCAAGTTTTGTTGTTGTCATCATTGGTTGCGCCTCGATTGGTGTGTGAGGTGGGGGGGGAAATCTCCAATCTCCCCCCCACCTTTTTTTTTACGTTTTTTTTTCTATTGCCGCTTGGATCGGATCGTGGGATCAAGTTTTGTTGTTATCATCACTGGTTGCGCCTTGTTTGGTGTGTGAGGTGAGGCGGAGAATCTCCAATCTTCCCCCCACCTTTTTTTTTTTTCTTGTTTTTGTTTGAATGCCGCTTGGATCGGATCATGGGATCAACTTTAAATTGTTGGATCGGATCATGGTTGCGCCTTGATTGGTGTGTGAGATGGGCTCGGGGGGGGGGATCTCCAATCTCCCCTCCACTTTTTTTTTTTCGTTTTTGTGTTTGAATGTCGCTTGGATCGGATCGTGGTTGCGCCTTGATTGGTGTGTGAGGTGGGGGGGAGAATCTTCAATCTCCCCCCACCTTTTTTTTTTCGTTTTTTTGTTTGAATGCCGGTCGGATC